TCAACTCGTCAATAATCAGCAAAAATAAATTTCATACAAAAGAGCCAAAATGTCTTTTTCAGCAAAAATTAATTGTTGCTAAAATAAAGAATTTTATAGTATGCCATGAGCTGCGTTTAATGAAATAAAAGTAATGAAGTCAGAATCAACTTTGAACCTATCATTGGTATCTTTGAATTTTGACTTCACTCAAACTTTTTTCCTCAAATTTAAAAAAATGGTGGATTAATTTTTTCAAGAAAAAAATGACAATAGAATTCATTAATACAAGAATTTGAACTATAATAAATTTACTTTAATTCGTGTGTGTATGAGTTTGCTGAAATCTGTCTGTCAGTTTTGGGAAATCCATGCCGTTTTTCACGGTGTAGAAATTAAAATAAATTATGAAATAAATCCATAAGCATATATTTGGGTGATGTGTGTGAAATAACATGTACTCTCAGTGATAACAGCAATAAATTATTAGTGAGCTAAGATGCCAAACCATAGACACATTTGCCATCAATCATTATTTTGATAAAAAAAATATTTTTGACATTCATTTTTAGTCACATTTATCCTGTGAACACTTACTGGCATATTAAGTCAACTTTTGTCACCTTTAAATATATTTTGATATTTTTGTTTTGATACAGACATGTCGCCAATGACGAACTTTATACATTTGGTTCAAAGTTAACAAATAAATCCTAGAAAACTTCTTGGAAATTTGTAAAATGTTATACTTTTATTTTGGTGGGAAACAATATGGTGTTCAACTGGTTAATCTTTGCATTCTTGAGCTTATTTGTGTTTTCCTGTTCTACTCATGACAGTGTCAGGAGGCGGGTTGGTATTAGAATTAGAACCTGCATAATTTTGGGATGATTTTTTCAAAAGTTTTGATCCAGACATTCATCCAATGAAAAATGGTCCAAATTAACAAATAAATCTTAGAAAAATATTTCCTATCATTATATCTGTCATCATAATTCCATAATTCACATGTATCTGCATCCTACCTTAGGAAATGTGTATTCAAAATATGGAATGTTTTACTTTGTGGTATCCTTGTAATACTGATGATTTTTACTGAATGTATGGTGTGATTGATGGTTCAAATGTGTGATTTTCTGTTTTGTATATTTGTATATTTTAAAAAAAAATGCTTTTAAAAAGATATTGTTATAAGTTGTACATACCATACTTTAAGTCTTTGTAATTTTGTTGCATTGAACATTTCATTGGAATTTGTGAGTCACTGACATTCGAGCACTTTCGTTCCACAAACGTCCTCAAATTACATATTAATTGAATTTTTTTTACAATGTATCAGTTTCCATGACAACCAGTTTGTATCTCACCTTAGGTTGCTTTCTTGTTTTCTATTACAGGAGTTTGCAACATTAACAAAAGAACTGAACCAGTCACGAGAACAAATTCTTGAACGAGAAGAAGAAATCGCGGAACTTAAAGCAGAAAGAAATAACACCAGGGTAAGATTATTTCTTATTTGTAAAGCATGATACGATTGGTTGATAATGGATGTATCGATTGATGTCAGTCACATGACAACATTACCTCCCATCATCTAGGAGTGTGCGGATTTGATCCTCGTTTACAGCTTACTTGGTAGTATAAAAAAGTGTGTACTGTTATTGACCTTTTAACATAGACTTGTTGTATGGGGCGAGTGGGGGGTAGCAAAGTACCACAGGATGGTTACGTTCTTTTTATGACAAGTTACGATTGTGATTATTTTGCTGTTTGTATTGTAATGAGAAGCGCATAT